ACACGGGCAGACGAAGCCGCTGCCCGCGCTGAAGCTGGCGCTGGAGTACATCGTGCCGTGCATGAACAAGCACGGCATCTGCGTGGTGGACGACTTCCTGGGCCGCGAGACCGGGCAGCAGATCGGCGACGAGGTGCGCGCGCTGCACGACACCGGCAAGTTCACGGACGGGCAGCTGGTCAGCCAGAAGAGCGACTCGTCCAAGGACATCCGGGGCGACCAGATCACCTGGGTGGAGGGCAAGGAGCCCGGCTGCGAAACCATCGGGCTGCTTATGAGCAGCATGGACGACCTCATCCGCCACTGCAATGGGAAGCTGGGCAGCTACAAGATCAACGGCCGCACGAAGGTGAGTCGGGGGCGGGAGGGAGGGGAGTCGTGGGGAGGGCGCGGGGACCGGTCATAAAGTGTCCACGCGCGTTGCCCTGCGCGATCGCTGTGCTGACCTCAGGCGCCGCGCTCTGTACTGTCAGTCTCTCTCTAAACCTCGCTGGGGTGTCAGCCCCGCCTTGGGGGGATTAGGGTACCAACGAGGCCTAGCGCAGTTCAGCCGGTGCCTGCCAAGCTGTTGCTCGCCCCACTCCAGCGTCGGGCGCTGCTGTTTCAATTGAGAATCGGTGTGCGGAACTCAGGGGCATCCTGAGCACATCTGGGGCAAAGATTCCGGCATCCAGGAAGAGCTTGGCTGCACCCCTTAGTAACATCTCGGTCACACGCCCGGTCCCTACTGTTTTGCAATCCTTTACCAGCAGGGAAAAAGATGTTTCCGTTTGCCAGTCTGGGTGGAGGCAGGTTGCATTTTTAGCACAGGTTACTTCTCTTTGCCTTGTTAATGTGATCCTTCTGTACTAGAAGAGCTGTTTTGTAGCTTCTTGGAAAACTGCAGCACGAAACTGGGGCAGAAAGGCATTCGCTAGGTTTCACTTTGGTGAAATCTTGCTTTCTCTTTGCTGTTGCAGCCCCGGATCTCCCAATGGGTAGCGTTTGCCCAGCCAGACCCTCCTCCCTCAGGCAAGGTAAACAGCAGAGCTGCTCCTACTCCTGCAGCTCTTTGGCAGGTTACCTCCCAGAACTAAATCTTTTCTTTTTCTTTGTGTCCTGCTCCGGGGCCACTCCACTCCACCTCCTGCACCATCAATCTCTGATGGAAGTTTTCAGATATTGTCTCTTGGGAAGTTATCACACGCACATACTTGTACACAGCCTGGCTCCCCCCACCCCCACCCCAAGCGTGAATGAAACTGCCTTGACAGTGTGTGACTCTCAGGCTGCCCAAAAGGCTGAGCATAAGCGGCAGGACAGTTCTGAAGAGGAAAGTTTTCGGGAGTAAGTGTGAGGTCTGATTTATATCTTTCAGATTTATTACGGGGTGAAAGCACATATTTTACTAAGAAGTCCCGGGAAAAAATTAGTCGCTTAAAATTAAGCTAAGAAGGAAAAGGAGTCCGATTTAGCTTCAGTTTTGGTTTGTCACAAGATTTTCGTTTGTATTAAAAAAGAAAGGTCACCATGGATCAAAAGTTTCAGCGTAAGCAGGAACTCAAGGTAGGAAAGTAGGGAGAATGGCGAATATGGATGTGGATATATGCATGTGGACAATGAGCACGTCGTGCCACGGGGGCATGAGCTTAAGTGGAAGCCATGGAGAAGGTGGCGTCCTAAATCTTCCTTGATCTGCTCTCTGCAGGTAACTCAGCTTTGTAGGTAGGCTGAGACCTCTCTCTTCTGTCTTCATTCTTCTCCTGTCCTCCGCACAAAAGGGGCAGCAGGCACCTTGGCTTTTAGACCATGTCCTATTCCTGGAAGCAGTTAGGAAATGTCAATTCCTCCCTCGTGCTCGTGGGTGGTTGGATGGTTCTGAAGTAAAAAGTAGGGGTTTAAGCCACATTATTGCTGAATAACTAAATAAAGGAAGGATAGATCTTTACACTATTTGGATTGGATTTAGCTCAGTGGCACCGTGCCTGCCTTGCAAGTGCAGGGTCCTGAGTTTGATCCCCAGTAACAAACAAACGATAAGGGGCACAATTTCAGGATCTTTGAAGGGTGTCAGGGAATTCTTTTCATTGTATTTCTTGGCTGAAAGAGTTTTAGTTCTCAGTAATCATGTTTGAACCTGTATTTTAAATATCCCTTAAAAAACAAGAGTGCTTGCTTTGGGGGTATGAGAAGTAATCACCACACTCCCTCCAGCTGTTGAGCGACCACAGGGTCCTAGGGACCAGATGAGGCTCAGTACAGACACAGTTACAGTAATTTTAATCCTGTAAAGTGGGTAATAGTGTTCCTAGTTTGCATTCAAGGAAGTTTCATCTCAGACTTGGCCAAGGCCTACCACTTTCAAAAACCTGGCTGAAATTCCGGTGCAGCTGAGTCAGAGGTGGGACCCATGCTTTTCCCACTGTTCTGAATGCAGGTGGGACTTTGAATGAGAGAGTGTCCATCACCTCATAAGCTACTGGAATTGAAGTTTGGTTTACAATTTTGTTGATAGTGAGCAAATACCATTACTTTTGTTTCTGAATAATCACCCTCCCTGGTTGGGCTATGTACACTTTTTATCAAACACTGAACAATGTTTATGCAGTGACTTAAAAGCCATTTTATATTTAACTACCTGAATCATGCTCACTTAATTATAGCTCTTAAGAGACGTCACAGTATAGTTATTATGTGTGATTGCAAAGGGGTCTTCAATAAAGAATTTTATTATCCTTATAATATTACACTGACTTTAAAAGTTCCTTAATGTGTACTACCGTTCACAGAGGCAGGTAGGTGGGTGAAGCGTCGTGGATGAGGAAAGGGGACCCAGACACTTGTTTGCTTGTTGGGAATCCTGTGGAACATTAAGACCCAAGTTCTGCTTCTGACTGAGCATCTAATATTCTTTTCCCCCAACCTCACCTATACTGCCTTTTCTTTGTGTGTGTCAGGGCCTGGGAGTCAGGAGGCGTGTGGTTGGCTGTGTGGCTCATACAGTTTGGGCTTTGGTTTCAGCTTCTGACTTCTTGCCTGCTTATCTGACCACTGTTTATCCAGCTACTTTAAAAGAGGAACCACAGGGAAGGGTGAAGTAATACAATGAGAAAAACAGAAAACCAGTGTTGCCACTGCTGTGACTGGGCTCTGCGGTCCACTTTCTCTGGTCTTCTCTTTGGGACTTCCCCTTTCACCCTTAAACTGCCCTTTGGTTCTTCACCCTTTCTTCTGCCAGGAGCCCTGCAGGGTTGTCCAGTAGAAAGGAGTGAAGTCTGCTGTTCATTGCAGAGGTCCTGGTGGGCTCTTGGAAACCCACAGGAGCCTTGGTTGGGTGGAGGCAAAAGGAATGCGGATGATCCTGGGGAAGCAAAGAACCTTTCCATTGCATTCACTGAGGGAAAACATTTGCCTGTTAGGGTAAAATTTCTAGAATCATGTACATAATGTAATTTTTGCAATTTAACTGAAAACTTCATCTGTTCAGTTTAATGTATGTGAGGAAAAGAAATAACAAAATAGATTGAGACCATTAGTAGTACAGCAGTTAATTAGTCAGCTCTGGTTGATGATGACGTTTTAGAGTAAAGAATAGAATGAGGCGCATCCTGCTGTTTTATTGTTGGTGACGTAGAGATGTGACAGTCTTAGAGATGAATACAACATGACCTTCGAGGATCAGGGAGAAGACCAAATCTGACCATCCCCCCTCGAGCTCAGCTTCTAGCCTCCAGACCTGTGAGAAATGAATTTGCAGAATTTAAGCCTAAATAAATACAAAAACAAAATCAAACATTTCTCCTCCATCTACTTCTGCTATCCTTGTTCTCCTCTTGGAATCCTGGACATTTCAAATTGAAGTAACCTGTTAATGCTTAACCACTGCATCAGAATTCAAGGTCACTTCAGTTATCCTGTGTGCAGACAGGCTGGGAGTATGGCACCTGCAGCCATCCTGGCAGCTGCAGAGGAGATGGTCCTGGAAAGGGTAGAGTTACTAGGTTGCAGTGAGCCCAATTCAACTTTATAGGAAAATACTTGCATCTAATAAGTTAGTTTACTTGTAAATGAGCACCTTTAATTCCAAAGGAGTTTTATTTCAAATTAAAAGGCTTTTGGAGGGGATGATTATACCTCTTTTATATCTATTATATGGTAAGTCTCAGAAATACCTTGAACATCTTTAGTTACCCCGAGGAAGGGGAAGAGAACTATTTCAATACAGAAAGATAAAGGATTTTGTCCTCCTTTTAGATCTAAGTTGGACCTTGGGTCTGTCGCTGAGACTTCGACCTTGAGCAAGTTGCAGGGTGCCCCTGAGTCTCAGAACTTCCATTTATGACATTTTGTTGTTGTTGTTTGTTTGTTTATTTGGAAACAGGGTCACACTATGTAGTTCAGTCTGGCCTTGAACTCACTGTGTAGTCCAGGCTGGCTTCAAAATGGGGGTGATCCTCCTGCCTCAGCCTAGGATCACAGGCATGCACCACCATACCCCATAGTAATGGTATTAAATGATAACCTTTTCTGCCTCTCAGTCTTGCAGTGAGGAGTACATATGACCCTTCTTGTGAAGTGTTTTCTAAATTGTGAAGCACTGTTGTTAACTTGTTAACTATCACTCTTCTCATTTTTAAAATTTATTTATTTATTTATTTTATTTACTGGTACTGGGGATTGAACTGGGGGCCTTGTGCTTGTGAGGCAGGCAGCAGAACCACTGAGCTAAATCCTAGCCCTCTTCTCATTTTATTTTAATTAATTAATTTCTGAGACAAGGTCTCTCTGTGTAGTTCAGGCTTGCCTTGAACTCATCATGTAGCCTTGACTGCCCTTGAACTCTTGGAGTACTGTGATTACAGGTATGCACCACATGCCTGTCTTCTCACTTTAACAGTCCTGTTTTTCTGATCATTTCTTTAAGAGTTACGTGCTTTCTCTGTTCCTTCATGTTCAAGCTGGAGAAAGGGGGCTTAGAACCCCCTGACTCGCACATTTTTTTAAAAACAGGAAGTAAGTCTCAGAGTTTGAATTGTTCAAGGACACAGAGCTGGTTAGTGACAGGACTGGCCGACATTTGCTTCCATTCCCTTGTCCATCAGCATCTTGTGTAGAAACTACATGGTTTTTGCTGTTTGGGATACTTGTGATTTTCTTTTCCTTCTCCGCCCTACTTTGTCATTCTTTGGCTGATCTGACCCCCAGTGTAGCTCTTCCTCCAGGAGATGCTGGAGGTGGCTTGGCTTCCTCCACGGGAGGGACGTGCTTCCCCACAGCCGGCTTTCCTCTGCCATTGTGTGAGCTGCTCCCTGGGGCAGCCTCCCTTCTTCCTTCCTCCCTCAGAGCTTCCCCTTCCCGGGTTTTCCCTCT